CTATGTTGGTTCGCTCATTGCCATAGATCCCTGTTGCTGATCTTTTCTGGCCGGCCATCTGATCTTCAGTATTGGGCGAAGACAACTGTTAATGAAGGTCTGAAGTTTGTTTGAGATGCTCTTCATGACGCGCAGTGTAATTCTCTGATCCGTATAGTGAGTAGCACTGACTTCACATTGGAGTTGAAAATCCGGGTCTTATTTTTGATGCTGAGTGCTGGGTGTTGACCTCCACACAGACTTAAGGGTAATGAAAGCCTGTCTTGCTTTTCCGATTCTGGCTTTGATATCGTCGTCAGTTCCAACTGTAGTTGAAACGATGCTTCCCAGGTAGGCAGGTGGTTAAAGGAGATTCTTTCTTTCAGGTTCCTCCTATTTATGCCGGCTGATTGTCGTCTGTTGTTGTTGTTGCTGCTGACCAGGAATCTTCATCACCTCTGTTTTATCTATGTTCACTTGAAGACCTATCTTTGATGGTTGTTCTGCCAGCTTGTTGCTTTTCACTTGCACTTCTTCCAGTTTGTGGGAAATCAGACATCTATCATCGGCGAAGTCCAGATCCTCCAAGTGTTTTGTGTGTGTCCATGTTATGGCTGTTTCCTCATTGCCCGCTGTCTGTCGCATTATCCAATCTCCTGCAATCAGAAAGATCATTGGCGACAGTATACAGCCTTGTCTCACCCGCGTCCTGACTTCGAAGGATTCCGTAAGTTTCCTGTTGTGGATCACTTGGTATGCAGCTTTGTCGTATAACTGTTGGATGAGATGTATAATTGTCGATGGCACCCGTTTGGTAGTAGCGAAATAGTTTCCAAATGACCACTCGATCGACGCTGTCGAAGGCCTTCTCAAAGTCGATGAATTTGAGATAGAGAGGTGACTGCCATTCCAAGCTTTGTTCAATGATGATTCGTAGAGTGGCGATTTGATCAATACATGATTTGTTTCTCCTGAATACAGCTTGTTCCGGTCGGAGTTTTTCATCTAGGGCTTGTTTGATTCTCTCCAGGATGATGCGGCTTAGTATTTGCTTGGGATGGACAGGAGCATAATTCCACGCCAGTTTTTGCATTGACTTAAGTCTCCTTTCTTTGGTAGTTTGAATAAGTATCCTTTCTTCCAATCCTCGGATACTTTGTTCTCTTTCCACACCTTCTGCGGTAGTGGCGTCATCAAGTCCGTTGTTGTCTTTGGGTCCATTTTCAATGCTTCTGCTGGGATTCCATCTAGTCCTGCTGCTTTTCCAGCTTTTAGCATCGTGATTGCATTCAGGACTTCTGATTTCGTCGGGGGGTCGATGTTCACTGGTAGTTCTGCTTCCGTTGTTGGTATTGTTGGGCGCGTTGTAGGTGGCGGTTATAATAATAATAATAACTTTAAACAATTAGTTCCCTTCTATGAATTTAGACAAAGCAATAAGAAGGCTTAGTTTGTCTGAATCGTGTATTGTGTATTTGTACAACACACATTTCGAACAATCTGATCACACTCCACGTACTTGTCATAGGAATACATATGTATATGAAATTAATAAAGGGCTAAGTGGTGAGAAAATAAACTTAGGTCAAGTTAAAAGGACATATTGAAGGTCAAAAAAACAACGGAGACTACCAAACCGGATAAGAGAGATAATAGTAGATTTACCCTGGCTGGTATCAAAACTAAGTTTACCAAGGAAGGTTAAGTGTGGTGACGAATTGTTCCTTTTTAGAGCATAAAGGTGGTTGAAAATTCCTAATTAGCAGCTAGGACTTCCACAAAATTTAGGATACGTCCTCTCCAAAACACATTATGTAGATAGGTTTAAAAGACGCGTAGAAACATCAATTTTATGTCCTATCTGTACAATATGTTTCGCAATAGAGAAGTTAGGTTTCCCGTTCTCACTATTAATGGGTTCTGGGGAATAGATTTGCTTCTGAAGTCATTCAGTAAAATGCTGTGATACCAGCCCATACTTGCAGAGATCGATGAGTCCTCTCTATGAACGTGTGTGTGTGCCCACACGTGCATTCAAATTGGAAAATTTTATTTATTTATTTTTGATTACAGCTTGATTACACACCGTATTTTTGGTACAAGTATGGAATTTTCAGCAATGATATCGGCAGCCCAAATTTTGCAGGCCCACCATAGATATCAGGTGTGCATCGGCAGGGGATCGAACCCCAGACCATGTTCATGGTCAGCGAGAGTCCTAACCACTGTGTGCCACCGACGCACAAAGATAGGATGTGACATCGTTTTTCGCTTGCTCAAAGGACTTAGATGGTTATATGGGCTTCACATTCTCGATTATTCTGATCTTAGCTGCTTTCAACTTTTGTCTAACCGTCAAGCTGTTATGACCCCCCATATAGGGTAGCTCAATGTACACGTCTTTCTTAGCAGTGAGTTGGAGAGAGTGGGTGTCTTGGTGTTCTGACTACTTTATAATAATAATTATTATTATTACACGAGTTTATTTCTATCTTTCTGAAGAATGGAAATATTTGTTTCTTGTATTCTAAAGATATTTATTAATATTTAGTTTTAATTACATTAATAATTCACTAGGAAATAATTTATTGGATACTACTCATTTTATTATTAGTAGGAATAATTTATATATATATATATATATATATATATATATATATATGATATTGATTACATACAAATAAGTCATCGGTTATGATTTGTATTCCTCAAGAAGGGAGAAATATTAAATCAATTCATTCTGAAGACTGTAAAAATATGCCCCGGATTCTGGTAGAGTGGATAACGTGCAGGAGAAATTCCAAGGCTATAAAACATCGTAATCATCATTGAACAGAGCATAGAGTGTCAGTCAAATCACTATCTGAACTTCATTGAATGTGGGAAGGCCTTCGACAACGTTGATCACGAAGTAATTTGGAAACTTTCAACACTACAGAAAGCATAGTATCGTTATGGCAATGTCGCATGTCAGTTGATTCACCAGGGAAAATTCAGTGAAGATGTTTATGTGGAGATGGGAGTCTACAAACACCGATGATATTATTGCTTACGGTAGACTGAATCATGCAGGATATGGTGCGTTTGGAGGGAGAAGATAGGAATACACTAGAACAACAAGAAGACTGCAGAATATTTGGACTTCGTGAACAATTGCTGTCTAGTGTTACATAAACTGGAAGTCTCACAGGTGAAGACCAACAAGTTGGCAAAAGAGGTAGGCAGGGGAGACAGAATCTCAAGTGAATATGTTGAATACATAGGTGATAAAAATATCCAATGACTAACAGCAATAAGCGCCAGTCACTATCAGTGGGTTAAGAGCAAATGGAAGTCACTTCTTTCACTTATTTGGACGGCATCGTTCTAACTACGAGAGGTACATTTGGGACAGGAAAAGTGGGAATGAACTTCACTACTCTCTAGTCAGCATGGAAATCTACTGTACTCAGCATAAGGAATAAGATCCAGATCTTCACCACTAACTTCAAGTGAGTCTCCCCTTCCAGGTGGCTCAGAGACGTGGTGTACACATAACGAAAAGCATTACTAATGGGCCATTGATGACTTTTGTTGACAGCTGACTTATCTAGGTCGTTACTGAAGATTAAATGCCTGGCTGGAAAAGATTAGCAACGATGAAAATTTTTGGAATAAAACAACCAAGAACCTATTACCCAACAAATATGAAGGAGGAAAAAGAAATAGGTCATACACAAGCTGACGGGATCACAAAAGGACAGAGCGCATTAAGCACTAGAGTGAAACCTGAGTGGGAAACAACGGGTTGAGTGTGGCTCCGATGGTTACATGATGGAGCTTGTGTGGAAAGGAGATCAGAATCTATTGGCAACCATGGAGTCAGCTGAAGACGATTGCGGAGAACAAGCTGAAGTTGAGATGGGATGCTGTCACACTGTATTCCACTTGGAACCCAAGGGAATAATAACAATGTGCTTCATTTGTTCCAGTTGTATTTAGTTAGTTGACTGACTATTCTACTAATTAACAGTTTAGAGTGAGTCAAATCCCTGCAAACCAATCCTCGAAAATGAATCAAGTGCTCACTAGTCACTGAATGAATACAAAATCAAGTCGCTTGCTGTTCAAGACAGCTATACACTGACTGCATTGGTTGGGGGTGACGTTATATCTGTAGAGAGTAAACTGAATTTAGAATTCACGGGTCAGTCATTGGACACCATCCGAGTTCCTGTATAGCTGATTGACTGACTAACTGAGTCTCAGCAGAGAATATGACAGAGAAGTTCGGTAGCAGTTCATTTCACCTCGCTACGTATAGTACACAAATACGGAGAACACGAAACAGAAAGTAATTCAAGAGAAATTTCATGGGCAGGAGTGCACTGCAGAAAGAACAGTAATATGGAAAGATATAAGAAAATTAAGTGGGTCTAGGAGATTACAAAGAGTGAATAAATCTTCACCATTGGGGACAATTTTCAGCTGTATCACCAATAGTCCTCACTTATTCATTCCTAACCTCCCAAGAGTCTTAAAGTCAGACAGCCTACACCTTGTTAAGTGTCTTTCTCAAACAAACTGTCAAAAACTTCATGAACTGCTATCGCATTTTGATCTGCTCCACTCCCTTCCATTAAATTTTTCCAACCTTATCCTATGTTAACTAACAATGCTTGTCGATAAAAGCTGTGGTGAAACACGTGTCCAAGCCATCTTAACCGATCGGCTGAATGGTTGACAAGCTCGTTTTGTAACCCGAAGGTAGTAGATTCTATCCCGTGTATTTGTTTGGCGATAGCTGTGTACTCCTGAAGCGGCCAAAACTATGACAAGACAGTTATCCAATAGGCTACCTGGTTTTGGATAGTTCCTAGACTGCTGTTCATTCGTCATCTAAGTAGCAGTTTCTGATTGAAATTACAGTAACAGTGTAACAACAGAAGACAAGGGCCAGGAAACAGATCGTTTATTAAGGAAATCAGCACATACTTATAGATTTCCATGTAAATTATTATAGATTATTTAAGCAAATAAATACAGTCTTCTGATTGGTTGTTTCTCACTGAGAGTTAATCTTTCATCTCTTTGTGGCTGTTTCTAGAATGTCAGATCGTCTATATGCTAAGTGTATCCGCCTACACAAAGTCTGCTGTGGTTGATTGTTGAATCAGTCTTTGTTCATATTTTTCCCACGACCAATATTGAGGACATAAACATTGACGTAAATTAATGTCTACCGATTTGGCTAGCAGGCAGCTGTCATCACAACAGCACCGTTGTTTTGAAGTGCGGTGTTATGTTGCTACTCTCAAATTCATCCATCATTTGTTTCCATGAGATTTCAGAGTGAGTCAACCGGAAGTTTAGGTGGAACTGACCAGCACATTCGATGAGCTTTCTACGATGAAATCACTGACGTATCAGTTGGGCGATAGCTGTAAACTCCTTCAGAAATATATAAGTCAGACGGGTTGCCACCATCCCCTACTGAGACTCTTCTTTTAGATGTATTACTGAGAAGGGAATATACCAACATGTGTTGCAAAACATTACACTTCTCAGTGACTGCTGTCCTTTGAGAAAAATCATCAATGAACATTTTTACGCACACTACGTCTAATGAAATAAATAATCCTGATAATATAACCAAAAAAATCATAATTACCGTTTTCATGGTTTTTCCTGTTTTTTGTTTTTCTCTTTTCCACCGAATTTTTAAGATCACGACAACACGACAACAAGATAACTGCTCATATGTTTAACTGATAATGTGTCACGCATTTATTTCCTAGACAAATTACTTGAAAAGCAAAGAAAAACACCCACGCATTTGTTATTTCACTTGTCAGAGAGGTGTCAGCCTGTTTTTGATTGGTTTATCTTGTAAATAAATCTGTCCAATCAAATATCAGTATTATTGCTTGTTAAGGGATGCACTCTATTGTATGGGCAAACAGTCCATCCTCAAACACGGAGATCATTATGACATTTATTTTATCAATATATACATTAGATTATGAATAATACTCACAAGATAACTATAAATAATGCTTCAGTATATTAGAAATAAGTTTTTACTTACAATATACATCATTATTCCAATGATTGCAAGTATTTTATGTTATGTTACTATGGCAACCACACTGAATACTGCTACTATCAGTGCAAATGATGATAAAATAATGCACATTTCATATAGAATTAAAGAAGAACTTCCTAATGGTACACTGATTGGTAATTTATTCAAAGATGTGGTAGAATTATATAGGAAATTTAAATTGACCGCCTTATCACTGTTGCATTCAGTTAAACAAATGCGAAAATTCGAATTGAACACATATGACGCGGATTTAAAAAGAGTGAATCAATATTTCAAATTAGATCAAAACACAGGGAATTTATTTATACAAAAATCTATTGATTATGAGACAATATGTCCAAAAGGCTTAGTTTATCCCACTATTTCATCGCCTTTAGCATCAATGTCATCGTCGCTTAATCCCAAGCAACTTCCTACAGCTGATTTTGACAATTTGAATTTAAAAGTTAATCCAAAAGTGAATGATGAATGTATAATCAAATTGATTTTATTTGTAAGTTTAAATAATTCAATCGATGAACGATGGATACCAATTATTGTGCATATTGATGATGCAAATGACAACCGTCCTGTGTTCCTAGAAGTCACTTCGCCTAAATGGGCAGGATTCTTTCGTATACCGGTTGAAGAGAATACACCCATGGGGACACAACTACCTCTGGTGAAAGCCTTTGATGCTGACAGTGATTTGAAAAACTCTGAAATTATATATAAACTTCAGTTTGATGGAACAGAATTGTTCAGCCTAAAAACAACAGGTTGTTTCAAAGAAATTAGTAGTCATGGTGATAAGACAATGACAAGAAGCACTGGAATTATGAATAATCTACCCTGTCTAGTTGTCACGGCCCCACTGGATTATGAAACTGAACCAAAAAATTACTTTCTACAATTGCTGGCTTGTGAATCCGGTTTTCCACAATCTGAATGTTCTTCTCTGCCTATAAAAATTGAGGTGATCGATAAAAATGATAACGCACCGAAGATTATCTTCCCACCGAATAGTTATCATGTGGTTAATATATCTGAGAATCTACCGATTGGTTCAGTGATTTTAAAGATTGAAGCAGTCGATAAGGATAGTGGAGAGAATTCACGCCTCACTTATAGCTTAACACAGAATTTATTTCAAAAAGGTATATTTATAAATAGTAACCATGGCAACAATCATAACACTAGTGGTGCAAGTGTTGATGGCAATCGTGACAATCAATTTTCTATCGATTCAGAAAATGGTGAGATTCGTTTGACGAAGTCATTGAATGCATATGACACGTCTCAGATTGAAATCACTTATCATGTTTCCGATAATGGATCTCCAGTGCATAGAATATCTCAGACGATTCTATTCAACATATTAGACGTGAACAATCATGCACCAAGTATAGAGATTAAAAAGGTTGGCTGTAGTAAATTCACTGAACAAATCAATGAAATTCATGCAGCGTACACTATTGAATCCGGTAGTCATTTAGGCTTTATTATTGTATCCGATGGTGATTTAGGTAGAAATGGTCAAGTGAGTTGTACTCACCGATTAGAGAATTATAATGACAACTGGAACAGAAGATACTTGAATGTATTTAAAATTAATTTAGTGAGTAATGGTCAAATAGCAAATCGATATTTGTATATATTACAAATACTACGTGTTGACGATGAAGACATTGACCAAACACTATTTACCAATGTGGATAGAAAGAATTCAGTGTCAAGATTGTTGGCGGCCTCGGCTACCATGGTGATTACTTGTCGAGATCATGGTATCCCGTTGGCGTTGACTTCATCAACAAGTATCACGATTACACTAAGTGATACACAAGAGACAGAATTATGCTTTGAACAGGCCAGTTATCAGATAACAGTGGAAGAATCCAACCATCCAATGAATAGCCTTCTTCGACCTCAACTGTTAGATCTTGTCAGTGGTGTGAGGTATAGCTTACATTCTAGAAACGATCAGTTCACAGATGGTAGTAGTAGTAATAGTGGGTGTGATCAGCTTGAAATCGATCCGATAACTGGGGAAATATCGGCGCCAAACGGTGTTGACAGAGAGAAGGCTACCTACATTTCTTGTATCATTAAGGCAACTGAGCAAGGAGTTTATGATGACGGTGGAGAGGTGCGGCATCGAACTGCAAATGCTGAAATTCTTATCAACATAACAGATATCAATGATAATGAGCCTAGACTGATGGCTGAAAGCTTATTGTATGGATTTACAATCTATGAATGGGATATGTATGCTTCGGCTTTCTCGAGTAATGATGACTACGACGGCGCTGACTCCAGCACGGAAGACAGTCAACCACATATGATTGGTTATCTGAATGCAGTTGATCAAGATTTAGGCGAAAATGGTACTGTGAGGTATTTTCTACTACAGGTGACTCCTGAAAAGAATCAAAAGTCGATTGAAATGAGACAAATCTTAAATAATGAAATAATCAATATGACTACTACTGGTATTACCAATTACAGAAATGGTAATCCTCGTTTAAAACCGCCATTTCATATTGATTCAAATACTGGACTGATCAGTCTACCAAAAGGTAATCATCGATTAATCAATAGGGAAGATGTCAATATCTATACCCTTCAGATATTGATTGAAGATATGGGTTCACCGAAAAAACTTACCACTGTACAGAACATTAAAATTCACGTCACTGATGTCAATGATAATCCACCAATCTGGTTACAAGCAATCAATGTGAATCGTATTCAAGCTAACAAAGCAATTCTTCTTTATCAGCTGGAACCCGTTTGGGAGATAAATCAAAATTCACCAACTGAACTAAAGTCGATCCTGAGAGCTATTGATTTTGATTATGGTGATAATGCTAGACTTGAAATGTATATTATTCAACCAAATAGTATATATAAAGAATTTATAGGAATGGATAAACTTAGTCTTCCAATGAATTCACTACGATTATCTATTCATGGTGAATTACAACTTGATATTGACCGATTAAAAGAAAATTATGAATACTGTGTATTTGTACGTGTCCAAGATCAAGGGATACAACGTCAACTCTATACAGATGCCTATTTTCTTTTACACTTACCAATACAAACAAAAAATCGATTAGAAATATTCACAAATTCAATTTATCATCAATTAAATCAATCAATAGGTAATTATAGAATGAAACCAATGAATGGAAATCAATCTATTCCCTCATCATCATCTTCATTATTATATGATAATGTAGATAATTTACAATTCGCTGGTGGGTTAAGCAAAAAAGGTATTGTAATTGTATTGATTATATCGATTACCTTAGTGATCATTTTATCGATTATTATTATATTTATAATTATATTTAAAATAAGAAAATTTAAGGACCAAAAAATTCAAGCTACTTATCATCATCATAATAATAATACTACTACTTCTAATGATGGTAATCATAATAATAATAATAATAATAATGTCTACATGAATGATAATCAAATAATGCCTAATGAATTCATATTACCACATGAAAACCAATATTTAAATCCATTCCAGAATTCAAATAATTGTAATGGTAGTCAATTAATGTTATCGAATAATTTGACATTTACAACTGGGCTTACTACTGCTACTACAGTCACTAATACTACTGATAACCCTTATAAGTACTATAATGATGAAATGAGTAAAAAACACGGAATGCAAATAATGAAGTCTTATAAATCACAGACGTCGTCATGTGATGTACTTCTTCCAAATGTATATGCTAATTCAGCGAATTCTTATGATTCCAACAATATTAGTAATCAACTATCTGGTTATACTACTCACACTACTACTGTCACAGCTATCACACCTGTTTATACTTATAATAGCAATAATGATAATAATTATTATTACTATCGAGATTATAATAATGTTTGTCAGTCTGAAGAGTGGCCGACACCGAATGCCCTGAAAAATCAATATGCTATGCCCAGTGATCATTATCATCAATTGACTTTACCGTCAAGAGGTGTAGGTGGACGAGGTACAATATCGAAGATGTCTAGGCTGACTGCGACAACCAACAACAACAATATTTATGCTTCATCAATGAATTATTCACCGTATCCTGTATCGATTAGAAGAAATTACAATCAAACGTTACCGAGACAGTTCTAAGATGTACACATATACAAACAGACATATCCTCACAGTCACTTCTGATAACACATACGCACACACACACACACACTTATACATGCACACAAAAATTTCCAGTCAAAGATAATCCTTGATTTCTTACTGTTGAAGTTTTACACTTGATTTCCTCAATGATGTGGTAAATTCGAGAGGTTTTTTTCTGTGTATTTTTTTAACGAAATATATTTTTTGATATTATTTTATTTCTGAAATATTCTGTCAATGAGAATACACCTAGTTATCTGTTAATAACCATTTCTTTTTGTCTGCTAAGCAAGGAGAGACTAAGTAGACGAAAGATGTTCATCTTTTTAAAATTATAATTTTTGTTTCCTTGGGTTCTCAGTGAAACTTGAGACCTCAGCTGCACAGCTCCACATCTCTTCGTCCTATTCTATGCTGTCTTCCATAAGTGGACCCATAGTTTCTCATAGTCTTCCCTCTTCTCCTCCCACGATCTCCTCAATGTCACAAGGTGAACATAGAGAAGATAGACGTGGTGAAGGTAACCGAACAACCAACAGAGACAACGGACAGCAGAGATGGGTCTGGCGTACTTCGAGGAGTCCTTTGATTGACACCACGTGCAATGTAGGCCATTGCTTGAGTGGAATACCGATGCGAAGTGACAAGTGCGTCGTCGGTGCGAGAGTGATATGAAGGAGATTGTGTGGCATGGTGTGGTGAGGAGGACATGATAGATTGTGGTCAGTTGTGGAGCTAGTCAGCTGAAGAGAACAGCGAAGAATAGAGGAAAGCATAAATGCGCCGTTGAATCCCTTAGTTCCAATCGGAACCCAAGGGAATAATAATGGAAATGTTTCTATCGAATTTGAGATTTTACCGTCGATTGTTTGGACCGAAGTGCTCGGTCTCAGGTTGACATGTCAGCTTCTTGTGTAGATGCTTCGACGATGTCTGGGGATTTAGTTAGTATTTAATTGGTGGATGGTGACTAGCAGTGGAATCCAGGATGCGCATTTCGTCCTATTTGAGACTCGTAAGCTAGATGTACCTGCATTCTCCAGTGAGTGATGATGTTCCCACCGAGGCTCGAACCCAGTACCCATAGTTTCAAACGCCAAAGCGGCTCTCATGGTCCAAGTAGTCTAGTGGATAACGCTTTGGCGTTTGAAACTATGGGTACTGGGTTCGAGCCTCGGTGGGAACATCATCACTCACTGGGGAATGCAGGTACATCTAGCTTACGAGTCCCAAATAGGACGAAATGCGCATCCTGGATTCCACTGCTAGTCACCATCCACCAATTAAATAATAGAATTGGGTTACAAAATATAGTCAAGTACATTTTTTATTTGACTTTTAACCACACTCATGGAAAATTCCCCCTGAGAAATATAGAAAATCAAATCAAGTAGCAGTTCAGACAAAAGACTGTTTTCAATGAATTCATTATCAGACTGTACAATCTTAGATGTATGGTAGACATTTGTAAAGAATTATATTTGTAAAATCTTAGAGAGATTGAAATGAGTAATTCCAACGTTTCCTACATTCGGCAATCTGGTCCGAACTTCTTCAGGGAGGTTAATCGAAATTAACATAACAGAGGCTTATATATATAAAAGGAGCATCTTTTGTTTTTAAAAACTTTGTCGAATCATATGAGTCATGAAACAGGTATCAACATGTATAATAAACAAAATTGTGTGAGGTGTGATGAAAAACTGACCTCAGATTTACAAGTATTGATCTACTTTTGTTAAACACTTTAATCAGATTGTACTTTTCATCAGAATTTGAGTGATTACATTCGGCTGAAAGTCCATGGTCCTAGATAACTGAATATGAAAATATCTAAGTATATGCGGTATACAGTGGTGTGTGTATGTGTGTGTGTGTGTGTGCGGATAAACAGTTGTAAAACAATGTCTTAACGTCTGCATAAGAAGATATAGACAGTTGGGAATTTTGACCAAGTATTATTAATTAGTGATACATATCCATTTTTAATTTAATAATCATGATTTGCTATGTATCAGCTAACAACACACCTTCATGTCTGTTCAAACTGTTAGTATCTAGAAGTGAATGATTAGACGTCTTTTCAAAATTATGGTGTTTAGGATTAGAGTTTAGTTGAAGCACCCTGTCGAACTTATTCCTTTGTCTTCTTTTTGAATAGTGAGCTGCTTTATTCAACCTACTGGAGTTGTCAGGTGACTCGACAGCTACGGATTTAGGATATGCATTCTGTTGCAGACAACGGAGAGTGAAAACACCAACAATTCTGTCAAATCTTGACAATAGTTCATATGACTTAAATGTATGCTTTTTAAGAAATTATGTTAAATGAGGTAGTTTAAACAAATAAATAAATAATAATAATAATAATAAAATTTTAATTGTAGTGGTATAAAATACAATTCAAATAATTCTAGTATTGGTTTGTAGGAATTTGGTTGATTGGTTACAGGAGTTCATCATGAGTTGACACTGATTAGAGAACCATTGAAAAACCTGGGAGTACTGGACAACTGTTTCGTCCTAGCTTGGGACTCTTCATCAGTATGCACCCGCCTGGATTCGAACCCACAACCTCTTGATTGTTTTTTTTCACGACAACATATTTAGGCGAACAATATTGTGATTTCAATTACATCTCATCATCAGGCTTAAACCTAATATGCCTACATAACTTAACAAATAAAAACCAATCATGGTGTTTTGTCTATTACAGAATTGTGCATATACATTGTGCAATTAGTCATAATAATAATAATAGTAATGATGATAGCAATAATGGTTCTAACAATAACAAGGATGGATTATTCAATTATTTTCACAAAGCGACATGAAAGCATGAGACAGAAAGTCTGAGACTATGTCTCTGTCACAATTTAATTATTCCAGACACTTTCTAGGTGTATACGAAGAATGTTTTATGCAGCAAACCTCTGTTTGTCACTCCATATTAGTTTGTTTATTAAATATATCACACAGTGAGTGAAACAGTATTATTTACTGGATGACACAGTTTCGAACAAAATTTATTACTGTTCATAATCATTTCATTAATTGTAATCACACGACTTCGAGTTTTAAAGTTCTCTTTGTTTTCTCCTATTTGTCGTAGGGGTAGTAGAGTTCTCCAGATATCTGCGCCAGGCGTTGAATCATTCCTATTACACGTGTTGATTTGCAGTTGATTCGATAAACAAAGCTTCTATTATCAATCTCTCCCTCCCTACACCCTGTGACATTAGATTTTAAAACTGTCACCCTATCCCATCTTATCGTATGATTGTGTGTGTGACTGCATGTACTGCTGTAGCTGAACTATTCTCTAGATTTATTATCTTATTTGGGTCAACCAATCTAGATTTAGATAGGTTTTTATGTTCAGCTAGTCTGACTGCCCCTGTTCTACTAGTTTGACCTATGTATTTGACCTGACAATCATTCCAGCAGGGTATTAGATAAACTAAATTGCTTTGTTTTAATGGCTGTAGAGGATCCTTAAACCGACAAAGCTTGTTTCTAATTGAGTTTGTGGGTTTGAATACCATTTTTATTCCTGTCTTGTTAGGAATTCTGTGTAAGGCTTCCGAGGTTCCTTCCTTGTATGGAATTACTACTGATGATTTAGATTTCTTATTGTTGGTGTCGTCATTAATATTAATATTATTGTCACTTTTATTATCATTATTAGTGTTATTTTTAATATTACTATCACTACCACTACTATCATTATTTAATTTATTTTTACATCTCCTTGCATATTTCCTGACTACTTTCCGGGTAATTATTAAGTTTCAAGGCTTCTTTTATGTGTATCACTTCCTGTCTCGGATTTTCCTTTGTACTACTTAGTTTTCGTGCTCTGTCATTTAAAGATTTCACGAATCCTATTTTCACTGACATAGGATGGGATGATCGGAAATTCAAATATCTGTTTGAATGTGTGGGTTTTCTGTAAACACTCACTAGTGTTTAACTTTCCATCTTCTTTGCTTTTTACATTACAGTCTAACATGGGAAGTTCCCCTTCCTGACTTTCCAATTCATAAGTGAATACTTCTGGGGTGGGAGTGAACGTTTCAATTGCTATGTTTTCCCACCTATCCATGAATATATCTGTTACAACCGGGGATATTGATGATCCCATGGCAACTCCCTCAGTTTGTTTGTATATTTTCCCTTGGAATTTAAATACTGTGGAAGTCAGGCATAGCTTCACTCCCAGCATTCTGTCCTCAAGTGGCACTTTTGTCCTTAGTTCGAGTTCTTGTTCAGAAATGGGTTCGTTTCTGACTGCTTCTATAGCCACATCTATTTGTATAGGTGTATATAAGCTGACAATGTCAAAACCGAACATTTTTTGCTCATTATCTAGTTTTAAATTATCTAATCTGTGTTTTAGTTCATAAGAATTAGTTAGTCTAGATTTTGAGTGGCTTTTTAGGGGATTTAATACCATGGCTAAATGTTTAGATAATTCATAAGTAGGCGAATTTCTAAAATCAACTATAGGCCTAATAGGGTATCCTGACTGATGAATTTTAACAACACCATACATCCCACTGGGGTTATTAGTTTCGGGTATTAAATTAAACCACTTAGACTCACCTAGAAACGGCTTCATTCGGCGTAGGAGGTCCACTGTGGATTTCCTAACTTCATTCATAACTGTGTCTATTGATTTATTAATTTCCTCATATGGTCCTGTTTGTATGTGAGTGTTTACCTTGTCCAAATAGTCTGATTTGTCTGATACTACTGTTGTATTTCCTTTGTCTGACTTTGTGATCAGTATCTCCTTGTTGTTCTTAAGGTGTTTCAGGGCTTCTATCTATGGTTTTGTTAGGTTAGACTTTCCACATTTTTGTCGTTTTAATGTAGGTGCACACTGCGCCCGTACTTCGCCAGCCGTTGTTTTGTCTATCCCAATTAGTGCTATTTCTGTTTCAGGGATGACATCCTCAGGTTTCAGCTCGTCTACTGATAAATTGAAATTTAGTCCCTATTCTAATACACTTATTTCCCCTACCCCTACAACAAATAGGAGAAAACAAAGAAAACTATAAAACTTAAGTTTGAAAGTTGTGTGACTACAATTGATATGATTATGAACAGTAATTAATTTTGATCGAAACTGTGTCATCCAGTAAATAATACTTT